GTTTCCTTACGTATTTTTTCTAAGAGGCCAGGTAATAACTCAGGACTGAGAAATCTGCGTCAACACAATCAGTAGTGTCACCTTGTTGACTTCAGAGAAATTGCAGCAGAAATGACTCTGATGTCACAATTCTTCCTTTCACTGTAACAAATAGAACAAACTATGTAGATCCTGCCTGTATGCAGCACTGAGCAAGAGGTCCCTCCAATCACATCTGAAAGGCTTTTTCTCATTCAATTCTCCCACACTTGGCAACTAATATTAACAGTTAGATGAAGCAGCAAGTCACAAAGGTGTCCCGTGTCTCAGCCAACAGGTGCAAAGGGAGAGCCAACAGTATCCCTATTCATTCTCCTCCTTCCCTATCCATAGGCTTAGGTGGGCATCAAAGGTCACTGCTGCAATTAGGGTGAGGAGAGAAAAATATCAACACAATAAAAGTTCTGTTTCTGAAATTGTGTAAATACACACAGTTCACCTTGCTTTCTAGCCTATGTATGGAGAAGTAGGGAGAGATTTTATCAGACTGTCGTGGTTTAAGCCCAGTCACGCAGCTGCTCTCTCACTCCCCTGCCTCCCTCCCCCCTGCTCCCGGAGGGATGGGAAGGAGAATCAAAAGAATGTAACTCCCACGGGTTGAGATAAGAACAGTCCAGTAACTAAGGTGTAACACAAACCACTGCTGCTAGCACCAATAATAATAATGATGAAGGAAATAACAAAGGAAGGGAATACAACCTCTCACCACGTGCCGACTGATACCCAGCCCGACTGAGCAGTGATCTAGCCCTTCTGGGTAACTGCCTCCAGTTTACATCTTCGGCATGACGTACTGTGGTATGGAATACCTCTTTGGCTAGTTTGGGTCAGGTGTCCTGTCTCTGCTTCCTCCTGGTTTCCCCTCCTCCCTGTCAGAGCATGAGACTCACAAAGTCCTTGGTCAGACTAAACATTACTTAGCAGCAGCTGAAAACATTTATATTATCAGCACTGTTCCCAGGCCGAAAGTCAAACCCACAGCACTGCACCAGCTACTCAGAAGGAGAAAAACGACTGCTACTGCTGAACCCAGGACAGTATCCACCCCTTATTCCATACCATCCATGTCATACTCAGATCCCACATTTCCAATATATTATCACTCATATATATACATATAGAATCATAGACTCATAGAATAGTTAGGGTTGGAAAGGACCCCAAGATCAACAAGTTCCAACCCCCCTGCCATGGACAGGGACACCTCACACTAAACCATATCACCCAAGGCTTTGTCCAACCTGGCCTTGAACACCACCAGGGATGGAGCATTCACAACATCCCTGGGAAACCGATTCCAGTGCCTCACCACCCTCACAGTAAAGAATTTCCTCCTTATATCCAATCTAAACTTCCCCTGTTCAAGTTTGAACCCATTACCCCTTGTCCTACCACTACAGTCCCTAATGAAGAGTCCCTCCCCAGCATCCCTATAGGCCTCCTTCAGACACTGGAAGGCTGCTATGAGGTCTCCATGCAGCCTTCTCTTCTCCAGGCTGAACAGCCCCAACTTTCTCAGCCTGTCTTCATACGGGAGGTGCTCCAGTCCCCTGATCATCCTCGTGGCCTCCTATGGACTTGTTCCAACAGTTCTGTGTCCTTTTGATATGTTGAGGACACCAGAACAGCACACAATACTCCAAGTGAGGTCTCACAAGAGCAGAGTAGAGGGGCAGGATCACCTCCTTGGACCTGCTGGTCACGCTCCTTTTGATGCAGCCCAGGATACGGTTGGCTTCCTGAGCTGCGAGCGCACATTGCAGCCAGCTCATGTTCATTTTCTCATCGACCAATACCCCCAAGTACTTCTCCGCAGGGCTGCTCTGAATCTCTTCTCTCCACAACCTGTAGCTGTGCTTGGGATTGCTCTGACCCAGGTGTAGGACCTTGCACTTGGCATGGTTAAACTTCATGAGGTTGGCATCCACTCACCTCACAAGTGTGTCAAGGTCCCTCTGGATGGCATTCCTTCCCTCCAGTGTATCAACCAAACCACACAGCTTGGTGTCATTGGCAAACTTCCTGAAGGCGCACTCAATCCCACTGTCCATGTCAGCGACAAAGACGTTGAACAAGACTGGTCCCAAAACAGATCCCTGAGGGACACCACTCATTACTGGTCTCCAGTTGGACATTGACAAGGAGAATCGAAAGAATGTAACTCCCACAGGTTGAGATAAGAACAGTCCAGTAACTAAGGTGTAACACAAACCACTACTGCTAGCACCAATAATAATAATGATAAGCAAAATAACAAGGGAAGAGAATACAACTGCTCACAGCCTGCCAACTGACACCCAGCCCAACTGATCAGTGCTCTAACCCTTCTGGGTAACTGCCCCTGGTTTACATCTTGGGCATGATGTGCTGTGGTATGGAATACCTCTTTGGCTAGTTTGGGTCAGGTGTCCTGTCTCTGCTTCCTCCTGGCTTCCCCTCCTCCCTGTCAGAGCATGAGACTCACAAAGTCCTTGGCCAGACCAGACATTTGAGCAGTAACTAAAAACATCATTGTTATCAGCACTGTTCCCAGGCCGAAAGTCTAAAACACACACTGCACGAGCTACTCAGAAGGAGAAAAATGACTGCTACTGCTGAACCCAGAACACAGAGACTTTTGAAAGACAGGAAAATAGATCTTTATCCTTGCTCTAAATGTTACTTAATTTTTGCACTTTCTTCTCCCCAGAGCTCCTTATAGTCTAACCAAACCTAGTCTGTTGAAAGGGAAGGACAGAAAAGGAGTTGTAGTGATAGATGTCAGCTTGCTGAACAAGCCACCAAAGTGTGAAGAAATAGATTTTCTCCTGGAGCAGGGGGGCTTGTTCATCATTTACTTCATGTGTTTACCCTTGGTCTATCATTATACTAGCAATGTTTCCCAACTGAGCTGGAGCACCTGGTAGCTATAGTAACCATTTTTTCATATCTGCCCATAAATTCCCTCAGTTCTAATTAGGGCACTCATTTATAGCAGCAATAACAACACAGGAGAAATAACAGCAGACTCAGCTCAGATGCAGTCACCTCTCTTTCCCTTATATCACAGAAATGACCTGTATCTAAACAGTCCGTATACTATAAGACGTTGTTTATGGCACAAAGCCTACCTTACCTGCCATGTTGACCACTTTCTGTCTGTTATATTGTCTGTACCTTCTCACTTTCTATAAAGTCTGTTCATCAGCCATCCATTTCAAACAAAAGCTTGACTCATCTCACCAACAAGCTTCACACCAGGTTGGGTAAACGTGTTTTTATTGATAGAAGGAAGAAATCACACCTAGTCTACAATGAAACTGCACACACAGCACTATAGCAAATTTTACAGACAAGTATGTGGATGCTATTACAAGCAGAAAAGCTAAGCAGTTCAACTTACAAATTTACCTATGCAGTCTATATAGCTATGAAGAGAGGATAAACCACATCATCTGAAACAAATGACAGGTAAATCATGAAGCACAGTGTGCAAGAAATCAAGACCAAGTAATAAACAATTGCAAAGTTCAATGGCTCAGTGTATTTCACCACAAATTATTTCTTTCTCTATGAAACAATAAAACTTTGTGAACAATTTGAAGTCTGCTGACATGATTTAGAAAGATGGATGGGCTTGTATGTAGTCAAGAGTGTTTGCTTTATTGTTCACAGAGTCACTGCTCAGAAGCACATTTGTTTTGGAGTCTGTGTGAATTATTACCAGAAAAGTCACAAATCTCTTGCTCACTTTGGGCTACAATGTGCAAGCCTTACATGGATTTCTTTAGCTAGAAGAAAAAAGACATCACGTCTGTGTATTGGCATAGATAATTCAGCAAAGTCAATCTCTGCAAAGATCGAGAGAGCAAGGCTTCTCTGGCTTCAGGTTTTGAGGGATCTGTTGCCAGCAGAAAATTTTCTCATGCTAGAAAATTATGTAAATTAGTATAACTTAACCTTGACAGTCAACAAGAATATCTTCTCTTGACCCTTTTATCCACTCTTCATCCATGTCCTCTGGAGGCTGAGGGAACTGGGTAAGAAAATGTACTGGAGGTTTTGCTGGTGCTGTTGGCGATTTCCACTTTGGAATATTAAATACTTCAACTGTTACCCTGTTTGTCTTCCCAGAGTAGCAAGTCCTTATGACGGAGAAAAAGACAACAAGCCCAGCAGTGACTTCATGTAAACAGGTGTTAGTCCAAGCTACAATGGCTTGATGGCTAACCTCAGCCACGGGTTTGGGGACCAGATGATCCCTGTATCATTGTTTAAACCCACATGACAACTAAGTACCATACAGCAGCCCGCTCACTCCTCTTCCTTCCCCCCACAGGAATGGGGAGGAGAATCAGAAAAATGTAAAACCCACAGTTTGAGATAAGAACAGTTTAACAATTGAAATAAAGGGACATGTCCAGGCTCACTTTGATCATGAAAAATTGAAGATATTTCACTGAATTTTTAACATTGGAATCCACTGGCGTAAAACGCTGCGGCCAGGCTCTACAAAGTTTCTCCATTCCCATGTGTCTCGTTTTCAAACCAAGTACCCACCAAGAGAAACAGGACATTCTTGGCCCAGTGGAGTGATACCTGACACTGGTGAAAGCCAGTGTGTATACTTCTCCCTTGACTCCTCAATGGGTTTACATCAAGACTCAAAGAACCCTGCGCCAAGTTGGGTGACTGTGGTTGTAAAAAGTGGATAGGGTTTCTTCATTGAATGCTATTTTATTGCTTTATCAGCTGGTTACACTAAATAATAAGAGCTTTCAAAGAGAATATTGTGATGAGAAAATGTAAACTAGTGGATTGCCAAAGGAAGGTTCAGGTTATTTGCCAATTTAGTCATCAAGCACCATTTAGAAGTGTGGATGGGAAACATGATAATGATCCAATTCTAATAGAACAAAAATTGGTTTAAGATACTGCCAAACTTGAAGCACATTAATATTCAATACCATGTATATGTTTTTTTCATTAAATAAGTGCAAACTAATTTCACTCACTGCCAGACTGGATTAATTTTTGAGTCCTCCCTCAGTTCATGGGGTGCTGTTATGGACTTTGGAGAAGAGTAGCATTTTGCAAGTTGTGTCACTCATTTCTCCATCAATCTCTTATTTATTTAAGCTATAGTCTGTTAAGAGAAAGAAGCATTTGCAGTATGCATGATGCATAATGAGTCTCCAGTGTCTATGGAAGCTTCTAAAATCTACCATCATACTTTGCTTACTGGCTCTTCCATTTTCATTATGAGGGAATGCTCTGAAACTGTCAAAATCTTTCCAAAGGACCCCATAGTAACCACTGTAGCTTAGAGTACTTCTTGGCTTATTAAGTATTGTAACCAGAACATGAAAAATAGGATTTACTTGATTCTACTAGTTAAGTAAAGCAAGTGTTAGACAAAAAAAATAATTGCGGGGAAATCAGGCAAAATGCTAATTAAAAATAAGATTAAATAAACAGTTTCTACATGATCGCTTGAGCTAGTTTCATTGCAAAGACATCCTTTACCTGGCATACTGTGTGGTTCATGAGAGCCCTATATAAGGTTAAGCATTTCTTGGTATTTGCCTGGGAACAGTGCCAATGACAGTTTATTCTCATTAAAGGCAAGTAATGCAGGAAGACTGTTACAATTGTACATCTGTATGTTTAAATCAATTCATTTTGGCCATTTTTTTTCTCTCTAAAGAGTCAAGTTCTGAAATCTTACCAGAATTGCTGGCAGGAAATAGATTCCCACTTACATGCATGACTGCGCACAGAAATTTAATTTCAAATTACCACTATTACTATTATTTTTTAGCCTAATTAGTGCTGAGCAGCAAACAATTGCCTTGGCATTGGGGAGCTTTTGAGGTTTTCTTGGGTTTTCCTTCCTCTTCTGCACCATGTGCAATTCTTCACTTTTCAGAAAGAATCTCTGAAAAAAAAGGGACAACTTTCAAAGCTGCTGTTTGGAAAATTAGCAAGAAGAGCAGAAATCCATGCAAAAATAGGTACTATACTGGAAATTGGGAAAGCCCTTCTTGGAAAGGAGATCCCACACCTTTAGTCCTTGCTTCACAGTTCACTGGAATCAGACCACTGCACTGGGCACAAATCAGTGATGCCTGTGCTCACCTGGGAATGTGCTTTAGGGCTTCAGGCTCACAGCTATCTATTTTTATATAGGTTTGCCACACTGCAAGTCTTACAACACATGCTTTTACCCTGTAAGATTCAGCTACTGAATGTGTTAATGTTCCAACTTAATTCAAGCTCCTCTGAACCAAATGCAAAAGCATTCTGCACAAATTTCACCGTTTTGGTTGTCCCTAAGGGCACCATGTCTACTTTAACTTTCCCAGTTCACAAAGCTGGGACTTCAAGCCAGCTGCCTCTGCTTCACAATCAGGTGAAGTCCTGGTCAATAATGGGAAGCACAGACCAACCAAAGCACCTTCTCTACAGAAATCAATAACTACATGAACCATCACTGCTGTAAATTAAAAGAAAAAATAATAAATTTAGGACTGGGAGGAGGGCATCTATTCTTACAGTATTCCAGCCAAATATTTCCTTGTGGGGATGAGTGGGTGGAGAAGTGGACATATTTGTGATATTCAAATGCCACTGCTGGTGATTCTGTGTGCTCATTTCACATTTTATCTGCAGCTTGCCTGTTACATTGGATTTGCCTTAGATTCATATATCGATTTAGAATTGATCTGATGTAAGAAAGGACTGCAGTGTTACAAGTAACAGATATCTTATTGGTGCCAGAGTCAGGAAATGTCTGTTCCCATCAGGAGATCCACAGGCTTTCACTGGGAGGCATCAGTATATTTAATACCTCTACTAAATTTAACACTATACTTAACAAAGTCCCTTCCACCACGTAAAATGTTCTTCCTTCTTTTTACAAGAAATTACAACAGATTTGGAGGAGCAATTAAGAATAAAAGGAAAAAAAAAAAAAAGCTAACCCTCTTGGCATAGCTTTGAGAGGGGTTTTGTTGTTGTTTTCCGCCTCCTCCCTTCTGTTTTTTCAAAGGGAAAACCATGCACCACATAAAAGATGATTAACAACAGGGAAACATCTTCCTGGATGGACAGAGTTTCATGAGGCTGCAATGAAGACAAGTTAGTGACCTATACTTATGCAAAAAGGAGAATTTATCAATTTTTTATCCATTTTCCTAAAGCAATAAGCTGAATTTCCTAAAATGCCTAAATCTTCACAGAGAAGATTAGAAACAGCTGGATGAGCCAGCCACCCAGCTAGATACCACCAGACAACAAACAGATTTTATAAGTAACTAAAGAAGTTTGCCATCTTGAAACACTGGGAATAAGAGATAAGAGCAAATACCATTCCATTAAAAGAAACGTAGACAAAGACTTATGCCAGACCATGAAGGATGCAGGCAGGGTAACCACTTGCAACATCACTTTCCGTAAGTTGCTTCTCTTCTCCACTGCTGCAAAAGCAGTTTACAAGCAAACAACCAGAAAATGCTGAAAGAGCTAATGCAACACATTTTTCCCTGTCCTCAGAATCTTTGTTTCCAAAAAGCATGGGCAGAAGTGTAGATCTTCTGAAGAAAGCATAGTTTTTCTTGGATAATAATGACTGTTCAATAGCTAAAATCTGTGCTCCAGCTCAGATGTTCTCCTATGGAGGACTGCAGAACTGAAGCTGAATCACACACCTATGTACAAAGCCTTGGAAATAAAGAACCACATACAGCAAATTGGCTCATGTCTGTGGCCTCTCATGATGCTGGAACAAACTAGTTGATATAGGGAAGCCTGAATTATTAATGGAAAATAAGATTAACTGCAAATTTATTTTCTTTCACTGACCATTGGAAATATATATATATGCAATATATTTGCAAGCTCAAATCCATACATGTTTATCAGGCATCTTTAAGAAAGATTTTTTACACAATGTAGAATTCGAGGCATCTTCAAAGCTGTCATTTGCTACTCATAATTCATTACATCAAATTGCATGTCTTGCATGTCTTACATATCTGTATGTCTTCTCTCTGACTGGAAGACCGAAACTTCCTAAAGAGAGAAATAGTAAAAATTAATAAACAGTATGTTCTCAGGACATTGACCCCTCCTTATCCAGGTACTCCTATTCTTCCCATGCCAACAGTATGCCTTCTATTATAAATTCCAGCCTCAAAACATGAAGATTTGGCACAAAGTCCCCCTAAGAATTGAGTCTGCATCCTCTCTTTTCTGCCCAAAGGAAATTTTTCTTGTGGAAAGTAAAAAAAAAACCAACAACAAAACAAACAAAAAAAACCACCAACCAGGTATAGGCAAAAAAAACTGCAATTTAACTGCAATGAGAATATACAAAAGGCCATATTGCAACATTTTACATCCTCCAGTGAGAATACTCCTGTGTCTTGTGCAAGATAGACAAACCCGTTCAAAGTAAAGAGTTGTTTTGGCAATTTAAAAGGTATTCTAGCTACAAATTAAAATTGTAGGACTGACAGAAAAAAAACTGAAAAAGGACATGCCTGATCTTAACACTAGTTCTTTCTACCCAGATAAAAGTGTGTCTACAGTTAAGGTGCTTAATCTTGTCGCCAGCATGTGTTTTTTTTAGCCCAGTGTGTCACCACCGCCTGCAATCCTTTTCTTTATACAATATTAAAAGCAGACTTTTACATAAAGCAACTAATGGACAGCACCTTCCTCAATACAAAGTCATAAGGCAGATGGATGGACATATGTACAACCACAGCTAACTGTTAATGTAGCCATTAGCGCTCAACAACATGACACCAGTTTAGGACATTTTCTGGAAGAATTTATTTTTAGAAACAAAATCTTAGCATCCTGAGACTGATATAATCCTGCTTTCATGCAACCTATGTGAGACATTTAAACGGACACTGACCTCATTCTCCTCTTCTCCCTCTCTGATGACGTTTCAGAAATACCCCTTCCTCTTATCATGAAGAAAATTATGTTGACATTAAAATTCACTATATGACCCTGAACTTCAAAATCTGCTTTACTTTAACTTCCATTTTTATAACACAGGAGAACATACTCCTGATGAGGGTATTTAGGTTTTACTCAAGAAAATTCCTACACTGGCCAAAATGAAATTAAAATTGAGTAAGAGCAAATGAGAAAATACAATGAAAGACTACAACAGTAAACATCTTCCAAAATATGTGTCTCCATATCAGGAATGGAAATGACTACATATCCATTCATATATTTATCACTAGGTCTATCAGTATGGATATCAGAATTTTCCATATGTGGAAGGACTATAAATTCACAGCTTAAGTAACAGCAACTGAGTCTCCATTACGTAATGAAAGACAGTTTGGTCCTGGGGTCCTTCTACAACTAAACTAGGCAGATGGTTAAGAAAACAAATAGGGTCCTCTCCTACTTAAACATTCAGTTGGCAGCTGGTTTCTGGTTTTAGGTGATGTGAGGTCTTCCCCAAGAAGTTACCTCTAATGAAGCAGCTAGGTTAAGGTTGACAATGCATTACCAAACTTCAGAGGAATTGTCTTTACCTTTTCCATATAAATCCTTCCATTTAATGAGATGGTTATATCGCATGCCGTTCATATATGCATACACATACATTCAAAAGAGTGCTTTTCCAGACTCCCGTGTAAACACAGCCTGATTGTTCCTGAAAAAAACAGAACAAAAAAGTTTATTTTTAAAAATCACACATTCATAAATATTTTAGGGTCAGGGTTTTTTTTACATTTACCCAGCACTATTAATAAATAAATTAGTAAAATAACTTTCCCCCACAAAATCAGTTGATTTATAAAATTTACACCAGAGTTTTAACTTACATTTTCCATCCTTGACTCTTTTAACAGATTGTTTACTTCTCCCAGGTGAAGCCAGTACATAGCTATAGGGTAAAAACAAAGCACACCAGGAAAAGAAAAAGACTTTTTCAGTCATTGGGTCTTTTCTATTGACAACTCTTCCTGGTTTTTCATCTCTGAACTTTCTAAGGTAATGGCCAATCTTAAACCATATGCTGAAGTAATAATTCCTGATAAAACTAATCTTTCCAATAAACAGCTTTCTGAAACACTCTACTTTTCATTTCCAAAGAGTCAGAAGGATTATGGTAGCGATTTGGATATCTGTTTTTCTAAAATTATCCTCCAAGTCTTCCTTATTCTAATGTAATGCTCAGCATCCTTAGCAAATACCAATTGCATCTACAAGGGGAGAAAGAAATACAGCAAAACCAGATACAACCTTAGAAAATCACTGTTGTAAGTAGTTTCATTCCTTGTACTAAAAAAACATTTCAAAACTGATCTACTGCATATTATTTTCTTTCAGAAAATGCAAATTGATCTTTCAGTTGGAATACCTGTCAAAGTACAGCCACTGTAATGCTGATAAGTCATTTTATTCATTAGTTGATAATGTCTGATATACTGCAAACTTACGCATAGCTCCACAGGAACTGCTGGATGAGATTACACCCAAACCATGGTGGGGGATGTTCCCCTTTGGACAATTTGGCAACAGCATGAGTAAGGAGTGTCTCCCATCAGTATCTCCCAGTGGCATGAGAGCCCATCACAAAAAAAACCCAAACAACTAGATGAGCTTGTGTTAGTTTCCAACATGGTGGGGGTTCGTTAGCCTTCACAAACGGTCACCATTCGCCTTCCATACAGTGAATGAGAATATTACTTGCTGCCAGGAACCTAAGGATGGGTAAATATGCTAAAAAGGTTTGTAGCCAGCGTTACTGGGACATTCTGACAAGCTCACAGTGACGCTGCTACAGAGAAGCCCACTTCAAAAACCATAGTATTTAATATTCACTCTGGAAAAGCTGGATGATGCTATGGCTTACTCTACCCAAAAGCACTGTTTAAAAAAACAGAAAAACTCCCCCCCTCCCTCCCTAAACAACAGCCAAAGCTAGACACCCTTTGACTTCGTCCACTTAAATAACCTGTTCTAGGTTGTGGATTATACCAGTTTTAATAATATTGTCTTCTAAGGGAGAGAAAGGGAAGGAGGGAGGGAAGAAAGAAAAGAACAGAAAAGAACAGAAAGGAACACAAAGGAACAGAAAGGAACAGAAAACAGAAAGGAACAGAAAGGAAAGAAAGAAAGGAAAGAAAGGGGGGGAAAAAGGCTTTTGGGAAAGCACAGAAACATTGGCTATCTGCTGTTCATTTTGCTTGTTTCTAAATTTAATGTTTAGCACTTAACCTCCCCTGTAATTTTGTACATTTAATCTAAGTTTCTGGGGAATATTGCTTCCTATGGGGGAAGACTCTTGTTCAGAAAACACTGAACAAAGGTAAAATTGCCTTTGATTGTAACGAAGCTGGGAATTCACTCTGTAAGCAGCTCTTTTCCCCTGACTTTACCCGATTTGAAGATGTCTTTATCCCTGGGAGGAGCAATGGGAAAGGACAACATCTTTAAAGTGAGAGGGAACTCATTTAACAAGTGTATAGACCTCTCTGCTAGAGAGTGCCTGCAGATTTAGTTAGACATTTTAGACCAACATAGCAAGGTGAGAAGAGTCCCAAAATATCCTTTTGCAGATTTGATACCTTCTTTCAGGTTTGCATACTATTCATGAGCCTCCCCTTTCTCTCACGAGTACATATATTTTTCACAAGCACTCACTAGTCACAAAAAATTACTTTTAGCCTATGAACTAAGTCTAAATACTTCATCTCAATAATCTGTTATTTGTGGAGTGCAACTGGTCTGCTTAATTATTTGCTTCTGTGCTTTTGTGCCCACGACAGATGGCTAAGTGCACTTAAATGAAGAGCATAACTAAGTTGAAAAATAACCAACCCATTTGTTTAGGGTTTTTTAGCTGAGGAAAGACTGATCAGACACTTCGAAAGATTTTCACAAGTCACCACTAGTTAAATATTAACACTCCGACTTTACACGACAAGTAAGCATGAAAATTTTGTTCTGGCTCTTAAAAACAAATCAACCAACCAGCCAACCTACAAAAGCCCCTACAAACCCAGGAGACAAAAACAGAGCCATAAATGTCAGTCCTAGTATAGTGCAAAGCACATGTATGGACAAGGTCCCACTGTCAAGCAAAGCAGTTTTGGAAACTGAATCTTCAATTTTCAGTTGAATGATGTCCTGCCTCAAGTCAGTGATGAATTTGACTGTTCACCCAGAGAGTTATTTCAGAGAGTTGTGCTCAGCTGGCAGAACTTTCCTCCCACTGCTCATGTGGCTCTGGTCAGGCTCCTAATCCTCATGTACTCACTCACATAAGGGATACAAAGCGGATGACACTTGCTGCCATGCTGTTTAATGATACACATTTGCTCAGCTCCACCAAGCCAACCATGATCTGTGTAATGATATGAAATAATATTATTTTATTTGACAAAATAAGTCCAGCTTTTAGTCTGGTTTGCTTTTGCCCCCCTCAGGTTCCCACTGCCTTTTCCAAATGCAAACCAAATTCCTTCAAGGACTCCACTTCCCCCCGCCCTGACCCTTCTTTTCTCAATCACGGTGAAAGTGAGCCTCTCTCTGCTTTCAAACACAGTTTCACACTTCCTGTCTCAATTCTGTTACATGCCTGTCAATCCCATTTGCTCCTGAGAGTGGATAAGACCAGGCTGGCTACGCTTAAAAACAACAGGCTTTTTCTGGGAGTTACAATATTTCCTGAATATTGTTCAGATTTCTCGCAGAGTGGATTGACTGCAGAAGGCAGTTATTTTTAAATCCTCTTCTTTTTTCCCCCCCTTCTCATCTGCCCCAGATTAAAACTCAGAGGAATTTAGAATAGAATGCTCCCAACTCAGTTAACATGCTAAATCAGGAGGAAGTTGTCTTCAAGTTTAGGTTTTCTTTAATCTACTGAAGGTGCGGTGCAGATATCATAATGACTTACACACCATTATTTACCTGGCAGCTCCTTATTGCCATCAGTAGAGAAAATGCTGAACAGCTGAACCCCACAGGGAGCAAATGAGAAGCAAATGCTGAGACTCTTCAGGAAAGGTAAGACAAGACCATGGTGAATGAAACACCACAGGTTAGTACATGAAATTAGATGCCATGCAGATTAACTCACTCCAAAATAGGGTTATAGACTCACAGACTCACCTGAAGCAGCAAGAGACAATGTCTCTTAACTGAATGAGGCCAAGATAGAGAGGCATGAAAAGGTTGGTACCTGGCCTAGCTGAAAAGGAAGACCAAGCTGGGACAGGGCACAGCCTCCATGGGATAAGCTATTGAGGAAAATGCAGTGCTTGAATTATTTTATCCTGCCTCCTCGTGGGTCTGGGTCATGGTAGCAGCTGAATGAGCACAAACTCATATACTATACTGATGACAGATCCAGGCAGCTCCAGAGGAGGAGGCAGCCCTGGGCTGACTTCATGGAGAAAGAAAAAGTCTGAAGGAAACAGTGCACTTTCTCAAGTTAAAGTGTGACTAGGGATGCTGCTGCAAAAATTTCTCCATGCAGAATGACGTCAAAATCCAGTTACATGCAGCTGAAACTTTAAGTCAAACAGGACAGGTAGTTATGGCCAAAAAAACTATATGGAGTGGAGGAATAAGAAGGTATGAATTCCACAGGTGAAGTATTGTCTTACTCTTCTTTTAGATAAAGGTGTTCAACTTCTCATGTTGGAACAAAATTTCACTTTAATATTGGAATAATTATAAAGCAAAAGCATTAAAATAAATGGAGCAAATGAAAAGTTTAGGTAATTTTTTATTTTTATTTTTTTCCTCTCTATTCTCCTAAAAGAACGAAACAAATCATTTGGGACAACCATATTGACTGATGAACTAAAAATCTATTTTCCCAGCAGCTCTTCACTGGCTGAGATTCCATTAACTCTTCTCAGGACCAGGTATTATAAGAGCTAACCTAACTTGGCCTGTGTTAAGTTAGAGGGACCAGAGTGATGCTCTTAGACAATGCTAGCTGTCATTTGTGCTTACACTAAGCATAGTTAACTAGAGTCTGGCTGTATAAACAGCTCTTAAACTAAGGGTTTCTTCAGTTTCTCTGTCTGAAATACTTTTTACACCAAAAGGTATCAGAAATTGTGAAAGTCAGGTCTCTTCCCAGAATGGAACTTTTTTTGATTCCAGGTTGAGGATTTTAAGGGAGAATTGCAGAGGCAGGGAGAAGTGTCCTGAAAGACCCATGGTGGGCATCCTTTGGGTGCTCCCTCATCTTTTAGGATATTTTAGCAAAGCATGAAAGGAAGATCTGTTTCCTAGATTTCTTGCTTGCTGCAAATTACTCACCCACTCTACTACCAAGTGCTGCATGTTCAGGCACTGCAGAAGCTCTTGTGACTGGCTTCAAACTCAATGGCTGGACAATACTTGGTAGAAGGTGAAAAAGACCCTATGGCTCTAACCCCACATTTATGTCACTGAAGTGTAAGTACCTTTCTAGCAGTTTAGTGCCTGGACACCATTGTCTGCATATCTTAAACCTCCAGTATGTTGAATATTTAGCTACAAAATGTGATTGTGCAGTCTATCCAGTGCATGAATTCTGTCTTCCCAACTTTGGATGATTTCCTATGGGACCTTGGGCAAACCCCTTAATCTCTCCATAGTTTAGTTTCTTACACATAAACCAGAGATAACTTATTTTTTCCCTCCTCT